AAAAAAAAAAAAAAAAAAGGCAACAAAGTCGGGCACTGCTAAGAAGGGGATTAAAAGAAAAACAAAATAATTCTCCTTTTACATAGAACTGCAGGATATCTTTATTGGTAAAGTTACATAAGCAGCTCTGATCTGTACATCTCAAGGACAGCAGAGAGCTTAAGGGGAACAAAGAAAGGCAATTAAACCATCAGTGGCAGGCCCCAAAAAAAAAAAGTTTTTTTCAGTTTGATAATACAAAGAGGTAGCCAGGAGACATGATTAAAATTATGAAGAGGCTAATGCTGCTGAATGACTGAATGATGACTTGGCTCACCAAATCTCTTGAGCTAAGAGGCACTTTTGAAGCATAAAGTTTTTAGTTTTTAATAGTACCACTTTGTTTATACAACTGCCAGTTATGATGGCCAGTGCAGGCAGGCTCCTTTGGGAAGAACCTTCACCAGAGGTTGGGAGAAATATGAGCTGAACTGGGGAGAGATTAAGAGTACCTCCATCCCCATTACTTACCTTCAGTAATGTTGACTGGCTGACTTCTAGTCAGATTTTCTCTCTCTGCCACCAATTGTGCCTGAACAATCTCAATTTTTATGAATATGAGTTTAGCACAACCCCGTATCCCCATTCCATAGGGCTTTTCAACTCCAGTGGCCCACACATTGGCACCAATCTGTCCGCCTATGATTGTCTGTAATTTAATCCTTAGCCATAGTGTAGAAAGAACAGGTATCTGACTTCAATTTTAACACAGGGGACAGAACGTAAGAATGCATGAAAAATAATAATAGTCAATTAGAAGAAAGCACAGGTCCCTATAATGAACCCTGACAATTGAAATGAACTCTGCTAGGTTAATGAAATAATATACATACAGGTTTCTTTAGCTAAGAAAGTAGCAAACAAGGGAATCTTCAGGATAGCCTAAAAGCTCTGCTCTTGGGAAGGCCTTAATCATATTGAGAAGTGGGTAAGATCCAACCTGGAGCATGGCTCTGGTCCAACTGCTTGGCTCTCTCATACAGGAGATAGCTACTGATCAAATAAGCATACTGACCAGTATACAAAAGCTTTATAGGTATATAGTTGTTTTCTTTTTTACATTGTTCTTGTTTACATTGTGAGATGGGGGCCATTTCATCCTACAGAACTACAATCCACTTATTATTGACTCAGTGTTACTGTCATACCTTTCACAGATCTGGTAATATTTTTCATCTTGTATGCCATCCTGAATGGGCACATTTACGCTGTAGTACCGTCCCTTCCCCAGGCCAACATCAGACACATCACCTGTTCCTATAAAAGAGAAGAGCACTATGATCAGTTATTAAGAACATGAGAACCCAGAAAACTTAAAGGATTTCCTGTTAGGAACTCAGAAGACTGAAAAGGTCAGTTAGGAGAACAATCCCAAATTAGTGATAGTTTCTAGGGAAAGAAATTAAGAAAAATAATATAAAGAAGTAACTATTGTAAACAATCTTGCAGAAGCAGGCAAACCATAAGGAAACTGAAAAACCTTAGGTTTCATCTTACTGGATCAAATGAAAATGTAAGAGATTAATTCCTTTGCTTGGCTTCATGCTTTTTAGGTTGACATAATATCAATTTATCACTGTAATTATTCAGGATGTTTGGAGGTGCACGGGGTATCTAGTAGTATAGTAAGCATAAGTGATCTATTGACAGTCCATAAAAATCACCTGGAAAAAGAAACAACTTTATTGCCATTTTTTGTGTTATTGTCACCTGAGGTGAATTGTGTTAAAATTTTGCATAGAATAGGTATTATTAAGCAATAAGGTATTAACAGCATGAAACTATCCAAGTATAAGAAATGTATAGAAGAATTTCAGTATTTAGTCATCAAATGTAATATTGAGTTTATGGTCACTTGCCTGGGAAAAATCCCGGGGAGAATTTGTGCAAGGACACAGTCATGACTTTGGAGGTGAAACTGAAGGCGTCTTCTACACCTACCAGATAAAGAAACATCAAAAGAATCATTTCACATATGGCATTCCTATTTTCAACTTCTGAAAATCTAGAAAGTAGCTGTGAGAAGGAGGGAAGATGAGAAGGCATAAATAATAAAACTAACAAGCTGAGGAATAAAAGTAATACGAACCTCTGGTCCCTATTCTTGTAATTACAAGATGAGGTAGAACTTTGGCCCCAAGTGAAGTTTGGGGGTTACTTTTCAAATCCATGGGAAACTATAACTAGACTTCCCCTTTCCAAGCAATGGGATATCTGGGCTTTCTTTGACAACCTGTTCTAAAAGGTACGGAAAGGCGAGAGCCTAGAATTGACACATTATCAACATAATTGAATAGCGAAACTGGCACCATCTTACAAGTTCTATGTTCTGTTTCGTTTAAGTGGTTATAGTTAAAGTCTTGGGATTTTTTTTCTAAAGATGTACAATGTGATAACCCTTTTTGGCTAAAAACAGCTATGACCTTGTCTTCTAATAGCAGCCTTATAACAGTGTTTTAAAGCCTGAAGAAAGATGGGGGAAAAACTTTTCAAGAAAGGGGTCTGTTCTCCATTTTAACTGAGTTAGTAAACGGTTAGAGGCCTGGGAGAGAAGAGTTGGGATTTCAAGTAATCCTCACAAGCCTCTACTTAAACAGGTAAACACACTGCCCACCTCTACCCCTTTCCTCTCAGAGTCACATATAGTCACACTATATTCAGATCATCAATCTGTAAAACAGGAGGACTATTAGCAAATTCAGGTACTGTCCTCTTTCTTACTTCAAACAAAGAAATTGTCTCTGTATTTACTTAATGTTTTCAGTCTTCATTACAGGCCAACAGTAACTTAAAAAAAATATTAACTCTATTTGTATATTGCGGGTATGTTTGAATTTCCCAAGCCTTATGTTTTGCCCTAGGGAGTCAGTTAAAACCAGTTAAAGGCTCTAGGCAAAAAGCATGAAGTAAACAAAATAAAACAAACAAAATAAATGAAAATAGTATTTCAACTTAGAAATGAAATCTTAAACAAGGATAATTCATGAAAATCCTGATTATTGATCCATCCAGAAATGTTGTACCAATTTATACTTTGACCAATCATGTATGAGAGTTCCCAAACTATTGTTACTTTCTTTAATTTTAGGCAGAAAGAATGGTCTTGCTCTAATTTGTCTTTCTTTGAGTATTAGAGTGTTGAGCACCTTTTCATAAGTTTAATGGCCATTTGTATTTCTTCTCATGGGAAATACCACTAGGCATAGTTATAAAATCATACTTAAAAAGGACATGTAGACAGATAGGAGAAAGCTATGGACTTGGTGGGAAAGAGGAGAGTGGTTAGGTAGATGAAAGAAGGCAAGGATGGGGTAGGGGTGGCTAGTGAAGCCACCACAGGATGCTAGTTATGTAACCATGGGAGATTTAAAATAAACCAAATGCATAAGAGTTTGGGGGTGGGGCAGGGGTCACTGGAAGGGAGGTGCTGAAGAGGGGAAATAAACTGAAATGAAACACACCATAAAAGTTGGCTAAAACAGGAAACTCTAAAGGGTGTAGAAATAACATTGCAAATGGAAAGAACAGTTTCAGGTGACAGTCTTGGTTCGTTCTTATATGGTTCTACAGAGTTGATTCTACTGTTAAACTCTGATACTAATAGTTTGAATTTTGTAATCATTCATTCATCAAATATTTTAATGTGCCACTACTTATGCATAGTACTGTTGGTTCAATGCATTGTATAAAACAAGAAGTAGTAAACAACTTGATCTCTGCTCTGAAGGAATTTAGTTTCTATGGGAAGAGAAGACACAGACACATTTAAAAAATTAATTAAAAATATAAGGCAATATGTAATGAAATATCAAGTTGGTGATATGAACAATACAGGACTTGAGAGGAGGGAGAGAACACTTGAGTTGGAGTGGTCAGGGGAAGTCTGCTACTGTTGGAACTTGAACAGATGGGTAGAACTTGGGACAGGTGAAACAAAACTAAATTAGGAAAAAAGGAGGCAAAGCCAGGGAGGTAGAAAGAGTGAGACATGTCTAGGAACAGTCATGAAGAGTTAGACATGCTCTTTGAGTAGTGTAGCCTGGACAGCAAGTAATGAGAGATAAGGGTGGAAAGATGAAGTGAGGCCTATTCAAGGTAGGCCTGGGAAGACTGGGTAAAGAGGGTGAACTTTACCTTGAAGACCACTGTTTTTCAAAGTGTGGCCTGCAGAACAACTGAGGTGTTAAAACGTAATTTCTTTGGTTCCATGTCAGACCTACTAAATCTGAATATCTGGTGAATATGGCCCAGCAGTATGCATTTTAAAACAAACTTCCCCAGGTCATCCTGATACACTTTCAAGTCTGAGAACCATTGCTCTAGGCCAGGTGTCAACAAACTAACTGGCTAAATAGTAAACATTTTTGGCTTTACAAATTACTCAAGGTCTCTATTGCACACGCACACACATATATATACACACACAGACACATTTTAAAAAATCTTTTGTTTTTTACAACCCTTTAAAAATGGAAAAACCATTTTCTAAATTT